TTCAGCTTCTATTTCAGCAATACGTTTTTCACTTGCTTTTCCTAAAATTTTTTGTTCATATTGAATTTTAGCTACTTGTGCTAGTTTTTCAGCTTCAATTACAGCACGACGACGATCAGTTTCAGCTTCTTTTTCAACAACTTGTTGATGAGCAGTTGTTATCATATATCTATATGATATAATTAGATGATTTAGAAATTTCAATATTAAATATTTACTGAGTTTTTTCTTGTTCCATTGTTTCATAATTACGACGAATAGTTTCAGGAATTTTTGGTTTTGTTACTTCAAAGAGATTTCAAATAGATAACAAAAAAATAAATAAATCAATCTGTTCACAGATGACATATTTGCTTAGTTCCTATCAACTCTCTATAAAGCCTAATTTTACCAATGATAGAAATTAAATCAACTCAAAATGAAATAATAAGAATTTTCAACATATTACGAAAAAAAAAACATAATAAGAATTTGGATCTGAAAATTTTTTCAATAAGACAATTATATCCTGAAAATTTCAGGAGATTTATTAAAATAATATACTGAATCTTCAAGTGAATTATCTATTTAAAAAAAACATCTGATATTTTAATTATTTGAAATAATCATCGCACCATGAATGCATGTCATTTTTCATTCATGAATGGATATACATTTTTTAAATGAATTTCTTACCGGAACAAAAAAAAACAAATTGAGGTGATCGACTAAATTTTAAAACCTCAATGTTGATTTTTAAAATTTGTTTAATAGAAATATTCAGTTTACAAATACTATATATATATCATATTAACTCAAGTTCATATTCGATTTAGAATTTGAAAATTCTTTAATTCTTTACCTCGAACTGAACTAATATATAGTCCAGGTGCTAATATATTTAAATCATTTTGTAATGTTCGCTTTAAATGATCATCAATACTTGAAAATAAATCAATATAAACTTCTTGAAGTGTATGTACCGAACAAAATTGATTAACTTCATGATGAATTTTATCAAATATTAATGTTCGATCATAATGAACTGTATAATTTCGTACAATATCAATAACAGCTTCACGTCTTAATATATTAACAACTTCGACTTTATCAAAGTAAATCATTGTTCCACCACTAGTACCACAAGGAATATTTTTTACTGAAAAAACACCTCATTAAAATTTGCTTTGTCAAAAAAAAACAATATCTATTACCCTGATCAGTTTGTAAGGTTGTTTGAACAAATTTTACTGTTGTAAGGAAAGGTGCCATAACATGATAACCGGGCGCAGTCAGTGATGTGAGGAGAGCACCTCCTCTAAAAAAAATAGATAGATAAATCGATGATATTATTAGTCAGAAAATAATTAATTTCATTTGCCTGTAATATATACCAACATGTCCTTCCGGTATTTGATGAATGCTTAAAGCAAAGATTACGGCAACAACTCCCAAAGCAGCTAACCATTTGACAACCATTACTGTAATATTTTGAGCAAAACAAGTGATTTGCTATCAAAAATAATAAGTAAAAAGAACAAATTGATGAAAGAAAACAAAACAACATGGAAAAGCAACCCCAATGGGGAATAAAATGAGATTGATGAGTCATCACAATTCTATCACGAATTATAATACATTTACATTGCAATAACATTGATTTTTGATAGATTTTAGCATAAATTTCGTTTGTTATTTTTGTTTTGAATTCTTTTTTAATAGAAAAAAAAAAGTGAAATACTAGCGCCATCTGTAGATATTCATTGAGTTTGATACAATCCATCTCGATTTCCTTTCTGCTATATATTCATTGCGTTCTAGATGACGAGAAAAATATAATTTCATTCGATCTTCGATGTGAAATGATTGGTGAGTGTGACTGTAGCATGTAGGTATGGGATACGTGTGTGGGTGTCCAGAGACAGCGGAGCATTTTAAAATTAGGTGAGGCTCAGTCTAAGTCTATTTTTTATCTCAAAATAGGTTCTCATATAGGAGCACAAGGATACTTAAGGCACCCCAGCTGACATATCGCTTCAGATTGTTTGGTGCTGCTTTTGTCAGAAAAAGATCATCTATCTTGTTCTGTCTTCCACCAATAGTTTCAAAATCTTTGCTGAAAGACAAAGATTTCAAACAACTACAACTATAATTTATTTTTCATTTGACAATATGAATTTTGACATAAGTTGATTTGGACTGACTACATCAAGAGTTTCTTTTATAAAAATGTGCCAATAAACAATGATTAAGTCGTGATTGAATCATAGAAGTTTGAAATATATTTTTCACTAGATTTAATACCTCAGAGATTCTTTCAGCCGCTACCATGACTACTGGTATAGTTAGGTAAAGTCGAATTGATTTATCGAATTCCTGAAACGTTTGTTTGCCAATATCACACATGTCTAATACTTAACAAGTGGTAGAAATTTTTGTGATCTGTTTTATCTCCATTTAATCTGTATTAATAACAACATTAGAAAAATCTGAAATCATAAGTGCTTCACCTTTCAATTTTTAAATATCAATATCACCATGAGAAAAATCTATAATTATTTAAATTCGCAATATCTTCAGCAGACAGTGCATTAGTAGACGACTCTAAAACATTCGTTCAGAAATGTAATTCAAAGATTCATGCATCAATAATAAAAAAAAACTTTTCAAGACTATTTACATTTAAATTTAATAGTCATAGGATTCCTAGCAGAAAGTTTTTGAGTAACAATCACTTCGATATTTATTCTTATAATTTAAATAGTGAAATGGATTGTTTCTTTTAGTCGAAGTGTAAAGATTAGATGAAACATGAGTCACTTAAAAGAAAGTAGTGAATCAACAAGAAGAAGAACATCAGAAGTTATGAGTGCCACGAAAAATATTTAGGACTTATTTATCCTTCAAAATCCAATGTCCCTTCCAAGCGCTATAACCATAATTTCAATAGACTGCACTATAACAGTTTATAAGTAAAACCCAACATTTTTCTGAACTAGAATGAACTTACTGATCACACAGAAATGAAAATAAAATTATCAAGTGACTCCTAAACCGAACGATGAACCTTTTACGACTCGTAATTTTTTAGTATCACATTTCTTTTCTGAAGTTTTTTATTCATATAAGCGATGTACAACTTTGGTTTTTTAAGTGATATTATTAAACATAGTGTTAAGGTATCTGATGAAACCATCTTGGAAATTTTAAACCATTCCACTAACACAAGACGCCATCATAAATGAAATGTTCCTTCCATGAGATATTGCACCTGCAGAAAAAATCGAAACAAAAGGATTTGTGACTGGGAATTTGCTCATAAATAGCTGATACAATATTTAGGTTGTCCTAAAATTTTCAGCAACAACTGTTTTTTACTTTTAGAAGTACGGCATGTTGAAAAGAAGTTGGATCTTGTGAGTTTTTAGCAAAATGTTGCTGATATTTTTCTGCTTTCAATATCTCAACAATCAAATTCTTCTGATTTTTTTCAAGTTTTACAAAATTTTAAAGACTATACATTTCACAACATGAAATGAAGGATTATACTCACAAAAGAGAAAATGATCTCTGAAATTTCTCTTAGTTCTTTTTGTGCATGCTATCGCATAATTCTACCATTCATTTCACGTAAACAAAAGGTGCCGCTATGAACTGTGAAGTTACTATATTTATTATATTTTCAAGTTTTGTTTCGTTTTTCTTCATTGCAACATACACATAAACTAGCACACATTTCAGTTTTTACGAAAAAATAAGATTTTTATTACAAGCAAGCTTGAGATTGCATACAAATGACCAGGTCTTAAATTCGAAATTTCGGTGAGGCTCAAGCTTCATCGGGCCTACACGTTCTGTTGCCACTGCTAAGTAGGTACAATAATCTGCCAAAGTTTGTTTTTTTTGTTTGATGTAAGAACGATCAATTTGAAAATTGCTTAAGAGCTTCTGTGACACCCGTTATACAAATAGAAATGACAAAATATTCTTTGATACATTGCTTTTGTTTTTCTATTTTATTTCTTATAATTAATTTTTTAAAATATCGAACTAATGAAAATAATTGCTAAGAGGAAATTTTCTTTTATATTGAATAGAATATCATTGCAGAATGCAAACATAAGAATAATAATGATCACCAATGACTTCATTTTCTGTGACAATAAATAAAACACAAACCATAAAAAAAGACTATGTTTTGACTAAAATATGAATTTATCTAAGACGTTTGATTGACTGACAAAACAAAAGAAAAATGCCTATCACGGTCAGATATATATCTGTCCAAAGATAGAGTGAAACAAAAAAATTTATTACATTTGAATTTAGAAAGTAAATGTCCTAATTATAATATTTAGGAAAAGACTTCATATAGACGAAAATATTTTCTCTCAAGAGAAATGATTATTTTTCACTAAAATTTTGCAGAAAACCAAGATGCTCCAAAACCATTTTTCTTAATTCGTTTGGACATGTTTTGAAAATAAGCTCATTAACTTCGTACGACTCTTTTTTATCGAAATGCGATGAAAAAATTTTTTCTTTGTCTTTTTCAAGAAATTCCTATATTTTTACGGTTCGAAGTCTTCCATAAATATTAGGATTCAATCGTAAAGAATTACTAAACTTCTCATTTTGCTCAAAAATATTTCCACTATGAGATGAACTTATCATCAAAATGTTTTCAAACAAATTCAGAACAACTACTTTTACAGAATCTTAGTTTTCCACAAAATTTTAATAGAAACTAGAAAAATAATTACTTTTCCTGAGAGAAAATTCTTTCGATTATCTGAACCATTTTCTTTATGAAAATATCTACGAAATTCACGCGTAGTAAATGTATTGCTTTCACTTTATTTCGTGTGCGTTTCAAAATTAGGTCAAAAAATGTGTCGATGAATATACTCTAATATATAATCATAGTAATACAATAAAAGCATATTAAGAAAAAGATCAATTAAAGAAGTAAATGTTTATACAAATAATAGCAACAAGAGAATTGTAATCTTGAATCTTGTTTATTCTAATTCAATTAATATTTTTCCATCTTCAACTGTTTCACCTTCTTTAATACGAATATTTTTAATCTTAAAAGAAAAATAAAACCATACAAATAGAAAAATTCTTTTGTAGAAACAAAACAATTAACTAACCACTCCAGCTCGACCAGTAGTTAATTTATTTTGCATTTTCATTGCTTCAACAACACAAACTTCTTGTCCATCAGTTACTCGTTGTCCAACTTTGACACTAACAGATTTAACAATACCAGGCATAGGTGAAATAAGAACTGATGCTAAATCAAGTTGTTTCTTTTCAGGCATAATTGGCATATATTTTGCAGCACGCTCAGGTAATACACGAAGATCATACTAAATGAAATAAAAAACATCAAATTGATTATTCTGAAGTTTTAAATATTCTTTTTTTTTTTTTTAAAGTCTACTTTAGTTCCAAGATAGATCAATGTAACATTTCCTATTGCATCCATTTTAAATAACTATAAAATAATATCAATAAAAGAAAAAATTATTTTATTTATAAAAATTATTTTATTTATAAAAATTATTTTTCTAACCTGCATGATAAATGGTTGACCATTAAAATTAATGTTTATAACATGATCACCTAATTTAAAACTATCATCAATTTTTATTATTTGTTTACCATCCATATCGACCTATGAGCGAAATAAAATCATAGTAAAATATTTATTTAAAAAAAAAACAAACAAACTTCAAATAATTTAACTCCATCTTTTTCAGTTGGTGTAACACGTATATGACGTTTAAAATCTCCAAGTTTAACTTCATAACCATAATTTTTTGGTGCCATACCTTTCGTTGATTGTTTAAATGATCGATCTCGTATAGCACTTTTAACAGCAATACATGCTGCTAATGCAAGTAAACTTTCACGTTCTGTATCCTTTAATTGTTTGCCTTTAAATCCTTCAGGATAAACTTGTGGCAAATATTTTGTACTAATATCCCCACTGACAAAACGTTGTTCAGTTATAATATCTCTCAATAATGGAATGTTATTTGTAACACCTTAATTAATTAATTTAAAACTTCATTAAAAAAACAAACAAACAAAATTAATTTTCTTTATCTACCTCGAATAACATAGGAATCTAATGCTTGAGCCATGGTTGCTAATGCTGCTTGTCGATCTTTTCCAAAAGTAGTTAACTATGTATAAAAATTCATATGTAAATCAATGGTTAATGATATCTCCTGTCTTTTGGACTATTTTGGGTTCTTGGCGAGAGCACAACTGACGCGGGCTCCTATTTTAACCATATCAAAAATGATCGGATCGATGTTCGAGAAAATAATTGTAAAAGCAGACCTACAGAAAACTATCTGACAAACCTAAATTGCAAGTCCGATGATTTCTGACGGTCTGCTTTTTTACAACTGTTTCTTCAGAAATCGATTCCATCCTTTTCAATAAAAGTTTGAGCCCAATTGGAAGTAGTTCAACAGATGGAGATACCCTTAATTTTTAAACTTACTTTGCAAATTAATGGATCATAATATAAACTAATTTCACTACCTTCAGTTATACCACTATCGCAACGAACCTATTGATATGAAAAAAAAATTAATGATAATCATAGAAATTAAAAAAAAAGAGTATTTTTCAACAAACATTCGGAATATCACTGGGATCTTTATATGAGGTAAGACGACCAATTGATGGAAGACCAAAAGATTTATATGGATCTTCTGCATAAACACGACATTCAATAGACCAACCACGTACACCAATATCCTCTTGTTTGAATCGTAATTTATGACCTGTAAATTTGATAGTTACATAATTTAACAAAAAAAAAAAAAAAAAAAGAAGTAAAATTTTAAACCTTTAGCAACTCGAATCATTTGATGAACAAGATCAACACCCGTAGTGGCTTCTGTAATTGGATGTTCAACCTATAAATAAAACACAAGTATTATATAGAATTAATTAAAATCTTCTTACTTGAAGTCGAGTATTCATTTCAAGAAAATAAAAATTACGTTTTGAATCAACCATAAATTCCACAGTACCTAAAAGAAATTTCTCTTAATCAAAATCTGATCTTTTTTCTTTATCAGTTTATGACATAATTACCAGCTGAATAATATCCAACGGCATTAGCTAATTGTACAGCTTCTTCACCCATTTTTCGTCGTGTTTCTTTATCAAGAAAAACACTTGGTGCTTCTTCAATTACTTTTTGATTTCGTCTTTGAATTGAACATTCACGTTCATTCAAATAAATTATATTTCCATGTTTATCTCCAAGAACCTAGAACGAAAAAAATTCAAAAAAAAAAAATTATTTTTTTCGTTTCAAACAATCAAATTCTTTATAACAAACTTGAAATTCAATATGACGTGGATTATCAATAAATTTTTCAACAAGCATACGATCATCACCAAAACTTGATGCTGCTTCACTTTTACTTAATAGAAAATTTTCCCGAGCTTCTTTATCATTCCATGCAACACGCATTCCTTTACCACCACCTCCGGCTGATGCTTTAATCATAACAGGATAACCTTAAATAATCAAAATTATAAAAATTTATATTTATGAAAATAAAACAAGAAACATCAAATCAAATACCAATATCATTGCTAACACGAACACATTCAACTTCATCTTTAACTTCACCATCATAACCAGGTATCATAGATACATTAGCTTTTCGAGCAATTACTTTACTATGAATTTTATCACCCATATCTTGAATAGATTTACTTGATGGGCCGATAAATTCAACATTATTATCAGCCTAAATATATTTAATCAATTATGTATTTGAGAAGAAAACAAAAAACCGTTATATAAATATATCTTACGAGTTTTTTTGCAAATTTTGTATTTTCTGAAAGAAAACCATAACCGGGATGAACAGCTTCAGCACCGGTCTTTTTAACAGCTTCTAATATAATATCTTCATTCAAATAACTTAATCTAGCTTGAGCAGGACCAATACAAATGGCTTCATCAGCCATTTTAACAAATAACTATTGTATAATAATAATAATTTAAAAATTTATTAGACAACAGAATTATCTTAAAATACTTACTGAATGTGAGTCAACATCACTGTGGACGGCTACTGTTTTAATATCCATCGCTCTACATGTTCGAATAATACGACAGGCAATTTCACCTCGATTTGCAATCAAAATTTTTGAAAATTTCTATAAAATAAAATTTCTTTTGAATTTTTCTTTATTTAATCAAAACAATATTCAATATGAATACTAAAAGATAGATTTTATTCATGTATCTTTTTCATAATAAACATCTACTTTTGTTTTCTCGTATTACGTTCCAATCAAAAGTTTTTATATGAGCCTTGAATATTCGTGTGCAATCCTGCAAATCACATATTATTCAATAATATCTTTTCTTATAATAATGTGAAGATAAATTTTTTGCAATCGATTAATGTGATTTTTTTAAATAAAGTACTGAACAATTCTACATAAAATATAGCATGACAGAAACCAATAATTGACTATTCATCTTATTCGGCGTTTATGACGATCTACTAGATGTTACATGTTCAACCAAACTATGCACTCAATAACCAGATTGAAATAGACAAAATCTATGAAAATGTTGCGTACAGAATAAAAAACAAAGATTGTAAATGGAACTATTGATGAATTATTTAATAATCGAATTTTACATCAAGAAAACGATGATGAATTTACTAACATATGATCCACTGAAAGTATATGAGAGATATTAAAGAAAAAAACACTAAGAGAACGACGTTCAAGCTTCAAAACATCTAAAACCTACATCGAATAAAGAATGATAAAAGAAAAAATAACTTGTAATAATTGTTAAAATTTCTAAGAGACTTAGCGAATTAAGGATACAATCGATCAGACTGAAACTTCTCCTACAGAAACAGCACCTGAAATAAGGAGACACGTATTCGAAGAAAAAAATGTTGAGGAAAGTTTTACAAGATATGTAATTCGAAAGGCTGCACACGAGTATTCAAGGCTTATATAAAAACATTCGGTTAGGAGTTATTTTGTGTCTATGATATATATATAAACTAATTTTGTCGCCCCTTAAGACTTATAAAAAACATCCTGTATTGATTAATCAAATAGAAATAAATATTTCACCATATTACGAAAAATTCTATATTATAACTATGATAAAAAAAAATGTTTTTTTTTATGAAGAAAAAATATTCTTACGGATTCAGTGGGATCAATTCGATCTAGAAAATAATGTCCGTCTTTTCCATAAGTAAAAAGTGTTTTATTATCCTTTGAAGTAGTAGCTTTTGTAGATTGAAATCGTTTGAGTTGTAGAAGACGACGTGCTGATGATGAGCGCAGACCAGTACTCCAAAAGAAATGCATGTCTAAAATATATATCATTTAGTTTTTTTTTTTTCTGCGACTGATAAAATTAATTGAAGAAATAAATCTGACTGATAATCATAGAGAGAGAGAGAGAGAGAGAGAGAGAGAAAATGAAGACATGGAAGAAAAGTTAATTATAAAAAAAAATGCTAGATGCACAAACATAAACAAAGAACCAATAAGATGACGTTGCGTATTTGCTATAAATGATTAATAACAAAAAAAAAAAAAGAAAACAAAAAAATACCAATTATTTGCCATGATTATTTGTAAAAATTCTAAAACAAAACAAAAGAAAAGTTTAAATAAAATGAAATCAAATTTTTTTTTTTATTGTATGAAAATATTTACTGTCGTAATTCATCGAATGAATCCATATAAATTTTTTGAGCTAGACTATTCACAATAGAATCAACTGTTTCTCGTCTAGTATTATTATTAGTTATTGTACGAAATGCTGATGATGAACGATGTCGTATTTGTTGAAATAAACTTGTTTGAGATTCATTATTTTCATTATTTATTAAACGTATTGTTGTAGTTGTTGTTACTGTTGATCGTTTTTTACTTTTTCTTGAATGTTTTTCATCATCAGTTAAAAGAGATTTTGAATATTCTTCATTAATAGTTATAGTTGATAAAGCATCACTTATAATATTTTCTGTAAAACGATTTGATAAACGTTCAATAAGATCTTCATTTGTAGATGATATATCTTCAATTGATTGTTTAATAGTTGAATGAATAAATTGATCAACATAAGAATTTATTATTTGAAAACGTTCGACAGGAGCATAAGATGGTGAACAATCAAATAGAAGACAAGATGTATCATCTTCATAGATTGATGTACTATTATTTGTTATATTTTGATAATCAATCTAAAGCAAAAAAGAAAATGTTTTGAAGATAAAGATATAAAAGAAATTATTTAACTAACTTGAAGAAAAGCTGCTCGAATTGAATGTTCAATTAATTCATTGACAAAATTTTGAATACTAATTAAATTATGTCGTTGTTTATCAATTTTAGTTAACCATGGTTGATTAAGACTGAATGAATATTGAACATCAAATGTTCGATTTGAACAATTAGAATTAACATTTTGAGAAGATCTACATTTCGTTTGATTTGTTTGTTGATATGATGATAAATGTGATTGATATTGAACAAAATCATTTTTTGTTGCTGGTAATGAACAACGTGGAATTGTATGATGAAATGAAACTTTTCTTTCACGTTTATTATTTCGACTTGATGATCGACATCGGATTGAAACATCGGGTTGAAGTGAACGATTTATTGTTGAAATTGATAAATTTTGAAATGATGATGATAATGATGAAGATGATGATGATGTTGCTGTTGTAAGAGAAATACGTGGAAATGAAAGAATATATATTAAAGAATTTAATGCATTTGATATTGCTTTATCAACTTCATTATTTGCTAAATTTAATAATTCTTCAGGATATAATTCATTAAATGAATTGTCACCATTTTTTTGTTGTTCCATCTAGAAAAAAAGATAATGAAAAATTGATTGTCAAATCTTTCTTTTTTTCTTTATCTTTAACAAAACAAAAGTATAATTAAATTTTTTATTAATTAGTTTTAGTTGAAGGTTGTTAACGATGTTATAAATAAATTCATTGATAATTGTTTTTTCAGATGTTATCATCATTATTTTTCTATATGAATAAAATTAAAATAATGAATATAGAACTTAATTTGGCTACTCGTTCAAAAATCAAGATTATACAATACAAAAATAAAAATAAAAAAGTTAAAAAACAATTTTGTCTTTGCTAAAGGTTAGACTTACATTTTGTTTTGGTATAGAACTATATTCGTAAAATTGGTCTTTTTAAAACTCCGATCATTTCTTTCAACAAGTTTCTTATAGTGATATATTTTAGAAATATAGACAAAGAATAACAACTTTCCTCAAACAAAAAAATTCATCTTAGGGATCATCCATGAAAGAATGTCCGGGAAAATGCAGAAGAAAGGTTTACCAAAAACCGGATGAATTCAGATAGATAAGAGTGGATAGTAAAACATACATCGATATTTAGATACTTGTTACGAAATTTTGATGTTAAGTGAGTTTTAACAACATTTTTAAAGAATTCCATGATATCTAATTGATAAATGAATAAAGTATATGAATTGTTAAATGTATGTTCTGCTTTTCTGTCTGATATGCATTCACTATAGAGAACTGAATGCGGAAAGGTACGATAACTCTTTTTTTACTAATTTTCGATGATTCAAAATCTAGTAAAAATGATTCTACTAAAATCTTGGCAAGATCAGATTGAAATTATTAAGATTCGATAGGATCCTACATAGTAGGTTCGATCTGAATAAGTATTTCATTTCTTCTTCTCATGCACTTAGTTGATGAACGATGGCTCAATAGAACAAAAAAGACAATACAGTTGAATAACAAACGAGAGAACCTCTCCACATGTCAAATCGCTTTTCGACCGAGATGATCTTCATTTGATGAATACAAGTAAATAATAGGAAAGTCTAGAATGTTTTAACTTTCTGAGCATTCGTTCTCGAGATATCAAAATTTTACTGAATTTTTCAACAAAAAGTTGTGACTTTCCCTCAAGTTACGCGGAGAACTAATTTTCGAGTTTCGACTTCAAAATATATGAACCAAATTTTCTTTTAAACATGAGAGAATTTCGAATATCTCAGCATAAGAAATACTAGAAAAAATACAACTTGTCCAGTAAACTAATCTCATTGAAAATTTTGTTCATGCAAAGTTTGAAATCGAAACTCGAAAGTGGATTTTCCACGCGATCTGAGAGAGAACATAGTTTTTTGTAGAAAAACCTCGAAAAATTTCAATATCTTGAGAATGAAGGTCGGGAAAGACAAATCATTCTATACTTTTCTATTACTCACTAATACTCATCAACTGAACATTGTCTCGATCGAAAAGCGATTTGACATCTGCAGAGTTTCTCTTTTTTTCAAAAAAAATTTTAATACTAAACATCCAGAAGATAGGCGAAGATGACCGAAATCGAACTATCGAGCAGAGAGAGATCCAAAAAAAATACGATTTCTAACTGAACGTTCTTTTATGAATGTTTCCTCACTTTTGATTAAATTCATAATTTAACTCTAATATAAATCTGTTATATTTCGATTAAATCTACAATGTGGATACTCATTTTCATCTTACGGTGCAAATTAAATAGTTAAATTATTCATATTACTGTATGTCTATCATGATCGTTATTTTGCTTTCTTGAAGATTAAAATCTGTTTCTTTTAATATACAGAGAAGTCTTATTTTAAAACCTATATGAATCATCTTTTTTTTCTTCTAAACTTATACATAGTTTTCTTGTTGATATTTACTATTAAACCCACTTTTGAAAGCAACAAATGTTTTTTTTTTTTAACAACCAATATCTGACGTAATAGCCATAAATAAATTATTAATAATTGTTAAAAGTTTTGTTTCTTTTTCAAAAAGAGCACTTATTGCATCAGATAAATTTCGTTTAGTTTCATAATGTTCAACAAATGCATAAAAAAATGATCCACATAAAAAATGATGTGGAAAAATTTTATAACTAAATGGTTGATTGAGAAATTCATTAACATGTATACTATACATATATATTGTTTGTAGACAATTAAATTCATGTATAATACTACAATCGAATTTTTTTAAATCATATACTTTTTTTGATATATCTTTTAATTTTAATTTAATTGTACCACGTATAACTGGATCAATTTGTATATGATTTCGATTATCATTTATTGATAATGTTAATGGTTCAATATCATCTAATTGAAAAGTATCATTATCAATTAAATGAATAGATTTTATTAAAGAAATAATTATAGCATAAAGATAAACAGGTGTAAGACGACGAATAGAATACCAATATTGAAGACTCATTAACCAAAAATGATAATCTGTATGAATATGATTATATTGTTCTTGTTGTGTAAATGATATCTTTAAACATTTTGAAACAAAATCTTGACGTTCAATAAGTGATAGAGAATTTAAATGATTTAAATCAATGACATCGTTATAATCGGTGAGATCATATTTACATCGTTTAAGTTGTTTAAGAACACGATGATAAAGAATAATATCTTGATCATCTTCTTCTTTATTATCCCATTTAAGTAAAATTGCTAGACATGGTAAAACAATTGGTATTGCATCAACATATATAGATGGTTCTTGTTCAATTTCAACATGTGCAGAACAAACAAAACTACGATGAATAAGAATTTCAATAAATGTTACTGATAAATGAAGATCAGTTAAACTATCAAGTAAAAATGTTGGTATTGAATGGTTATTTTTACTTTTTATTTCTGATAGACCATTTTCAATATGAATACGAATTTGTTCGTCATTCTAAAAACAAAAATTCATTGTATTTTTTTTTCTCTTTAATTATTTGATTTCTTTTTTTTTTGTGTGTGTTGTTGTTTTTATTACCATATCAAGTTTATCAAAATATTCTCGAGCTAATTGAACAAAATAAACATTTTTAAGAAGATTTTCATTCTTCAATGAAGCAAAACGATAAATAAGTGTATCTGTTGGATTTAAATAAGATTGACATGCTGATCGCAGTTGCATTTCAATTTTCTTTTTCGATGTTTTTCCAATAGGTTCAAGTAATTTTTGTAATGCAATTTCAACATCATCAAAATGTTTCATCCATTGCATAGCATACCAATGTTTTGTTCTATTATTTTTATTAATTTTATTTTTTTCTGCTTTTTCTACTGTTGTAGTAATATGATTGAATATTGGTTCAACTGTATTTTCATTAATATAATCATTTCCACATAAACAAAAAGCAAGTGAAAGTGTAGAAGGTTTTAAACCAATAAATTTTTCAAGTAATGAATCTATTGTAAATAATTGAGCAGATAAATAAAAATATGAATTTTTTTTAATTGGATTTACATCAACATAATAAAATGGT